TGGCAAGCCACTAACGGCTATAAGCCCATGACATACGATTGATGAGCCACTAATGGCTACATGATCATATCACACGATTAGTGAGCCACTAATGGCCAAAACAAATGAATTGGTAAACTAATAATGGCTACATATTAGCAATATATGATTGATGAGCCACTAATGGTTGACATATACACATTCACACATCACATCCATTCATGTAAAACACGACATCAACCTTCATGGTTAACATCAATTACTTTATCGGATACATAAACATCATAGTTATACATCTCATTTATTCGTATAAAACAAGGCCTCAACCTTCATGATTAACACCAATTGCTTCATCACATACACGCACGCATGATATTTACATATAACATTAAATAAGTTATACCACATAAGGAATGTAACACAAAACATCACATTTAACTTATCACATCACACAAATAACATAGCATATTTAGTTACACCTATTAGCATTGGTAATTGTCTTGGATAAATTATTGGAATTAGAACCCATGCCTTGTCTTCCTAACTTTATTACCGAGCATTAAACACCAACTTTATTTCTATTAACAAATACCTAAGGTCTTAGACCCTTTTGGATTTGATACACAATAATATATCTTAATCATACTTCTAATACCACATTTAATCCATAAGTGTTGCATTCATTCAAAATACCAATACATTTAAAGTCGAACTTGGCAAAAATTTAAAAGTAGTGTAAATATGTAGGAAACATATCCGGTCAATCAAAATGATCAAGGTGTTTCTTAAGAACATCAAAAATACTTTTTTAAATGATGAATGCGTCCCTTAGTGAAAAATTGATTCTAAAAGCTAGCAAAATCATCCCTAATCACTTTAAAAAGGCTCTAACGAGTAGGAAAGGTATGATGTTACCTTCTTCAATACTCTAATGAAGACAAAATGATGTTGTCAATCGAAGAGAGAAGCTTAACACCCATAAGTCAAGGTTCTCTTCTTTCTTCCTCATTTGCTTATTTGGACCATCTTCTCACCGTTCAATGTTTTCAATTAGAGAGGAAAGATTGATCGAGAAGGGGCTATTGTGGGGCTATCTTGGTGCTAGTTGGCTGCTATTTTAGGATTGTTTTTTGTTGGAAATTGTGGCTGGACAATGGTATTTTGTTGCTCTGCAACCGTCATGGGACAATAGTGGTATGCTTGATGGAATTGTCACTCGGATAATGGTGGTTTGTTGTTGGAACCACTACTAGACGAGTGGTGATTTGATGTTGGAACTATTGTTAGAGTTAGAGTAAATTGCCAAAAGTTAGAGAAAACTATCGAAAGTTATAGTAGCTAGGGTAGCTGGATTATGTCAATAGAGAAAAAGGGTTGGACAACTGCATTTTCATGATTTTTTAGAGTTATGGCTAGTAGGTTTTATGGGTTTTTGGAGGTTGTGGCTAGTGGTTAGGGGGAGGTTTAAGATGATAGGTGTGGAAGATGATGGTGGGTATAGAGATTTTATGGTAGTGGCTACAGAGGTTTGATCTTTAAACTATTTTTTTATAATTTAAGTACTTTTGTTTCTCCGAACTAAATTAATCAATATTTTAATTTAATTAATTATGATTGTATAGATAATTATTTAAGTTGTCTAATTAGTTGAATGTCTATTGTAATTGACAATTAGCTAACTTTCTTAATTCGTAATTGTTATAAGAAAAAATTAGCATAAGTAGCGAATTAGGTTTTCATAATTATGATCCCGGTTATGTGACTACCTAAGAAAAATAAAAAGATGAATTAAATGACCTTAGGAGATCTAGATCATTGTTCATTCTTAGCTATTTTCTAATTTGTAATGCTATTGTTAATTAGACTAGTAGTGTTTAATACCAAAATCAATCAATAATAAAAGTTTAATTTATAAAGGATTCTTTGAATCAATGAATATAGGAAACATTTGGGTTTATTCTAGGGTCTAGGTAAATCTAGGGTAAGTATTCAATGAAAGAATAATAATTTAGGTGTCGATGATCAATTTATAAATTGAATGTTTGAATTTCCTCTTGAAGTTAAAACTAAATTGAATTTACTTTATTTGGTAATTTCAGCTTTATAATAGCAAATCCCTTAGTTTTTAAAGATAACGGAATTGATTGACCAATCTTTAGAGTTTGACCTAGACTTGTCTTTATTACAAATTTCAATAGGAACAATAAACTAAAGTTGGTGCACTTGATATGCATTAGATACCAATGTGTGTAAATTAAAAGTTATGTTTGTTTGGCCTTTGATTCGATAAAACGACCACCCAAATGTTAGGGTCTCGTTTCATGATCCTAAGTAGGGTCTATTTTTTTGACATGGTGTTTCTCACTTCGGGCTATGTTTGTTTGAGGAAAAAACAAATTTTAGGAACTTGTTTTCCTTATTTTCCTCTACTTTTTGATATTTTTTTTCCGTTTAGGAAAAAAATCAATAGAAAATGATTTTCGAGTCAACGAAAAATGATATAGTATTTTTGAAAAAGTGTTTTCCGAGTTAAAAAAGAGAAAAATATTTTTTTCTCTCTCACAAGTCTGTCTCACTCTTGCATTATTCACCTCTCTTGATATATTTTAACAATTTTATTCCCTATCTCATTTTCATTTAAAATATATCAAATTAATTTTTAATGATTTTTTATCAATTATTATTAATTATTTAATTATGTTTCTCTATTTCTACTAGCATTTGATTTTTCGATTTATAAATACATTAAATATTCTTAAAAATATTTTTACACCTTAAAATTATTTTTATAATAAATATTTTAATAATTTATCTCTATTTTTTTTATCAATATCTCGAACACCACCTAAACTATACTTAAATAATTGAAATCATTTATGAAAAATTTGAAACTACTTAATTCATTAATAAATATATTATTTTTTAACACTATTTATTTGTAACTAAATCAATAATTTGTGACTAATTTTAATGAGTTGTAAAATTTTATTGGTAATTGTAGTTAATAATTAATTACAAATTATTTCAACATTAATCTTTTAGAACTAAATGAATAATTATCTACAAATGATAACTAATAATTTATAAAACTATTTTTTAAACTAAATTATCAGTTCAATTTCTAAAAAACAATTCTTAATTGAGTTACCAAAATAACAATGCTAGGATTACATAGAATTATTTTTACTAAATGTGAATATTGACTTAATTTTGTCCCGAAGTAGTTTTGATGAATTGGTTTGACGGTTAAAAATATATATTTTATTTTTTAATTTTTTGAATTTAAATCTTAGAGTTAATATTTATAAAAATTTATTAAATTTTTCTAAATGCATCTTATATTGTGAAATTATGAGTATGCTTTATTGAAGTTTTTTCAAAATTTGTTGATGAATAAGCATAGCTCTGTTTGTGTATTTTAGTTTTTTGTATCAAATAAACGCTAAAATATATTTCCTAATAAGTTTTTTTTATATAATTGACAAATGTAAGAAAACATTTTTTTAAAAAAATAACTTTTTAAAAAATAACTTCTCCATAATTAATTTTTCTATTAAAAGTTATTTTTTACCAATAAAAAACGGAGCCTCGAATCATTCTTTAAAAGCTTAAGTCCTAATAAAAATACTTTCTAAGAACTGCACATCATTCTACTAAAAACTAAAACAGCTAGAGAGTTTACTGTTTAAATAAACAATAACTTCGTAGCTGTTTATTACTTTAAAAAACTTAGCTTCTCCCATCTTCTCCATATGCAAGTTCTTTCTTTTTTATTTTCTTTTATTTGTTGCCCTCTTCTTCTATTGTAATTGCATTTGGGCCATTGAGTGCCTTTATGTTATTACTTTTTCGCCCTCCTTTTTTACTGTTTTCCTTGCACCTTTGTTCGTCCTTTATAGACATTTCCTTTTCATATTTAACAAGGCATTTAATGCTTCTGATCTTTAATTTTCTTCTCTCCTTCTCGTCCTTTTTCTTGTTCATTTGTCTCACTTTGTTTGTCTTTTTTCAACATTTTCTCTTCATTTTTACGCAGCATTTAACGCTTCTAATCTTGAATTTTCTTTTCGTTTTTCACATAGCATTTTAAGATTCTAATCTTGAATTTTCTTCTTCTTTTTTTTTTTTTTTTTTCTCGCCTCTCATGTCCAGAATGGGTTTGTTTGTGGAGGGGCGTTTCAATTTTTGCATTTTCCATTTCCTCTTTTAAATGACTTCGGGATTGGGTTTGTTGTTGTCTTTTTGAAGAAATTTTTTAACTTTTGATTTCATTACATCTCATTTTTTTATCTCTCCGGTTCAATCTTTCGAAATGGGTTTTTGTATTTCTTTTCTTGATTCTATTTGAATGTTGTCTTATTATAAATTTCTCTTGTTGGGATCCTAATTCATCACTATTTTTCTAATTTTCGCACTAGGTTGTTTGGATTGTTCTCTGATGACTCACATGGTTCATCTTAGTCATTGTTTTTGAGTTTTGTTCTCAGATAAGGCATCTCAACAATTTTTTTCATTATTTATTTTACTTTTCCTTGCTCTCTAATTGCATGTATTTTTTTTTTTACAAAATAAAAAATATTCCTAAGATATAGTTAAATGCAATTATATATATATATAAAGTAATTTTTTACAAGAAGTGTTATTTCATTTTTATTTTACGTTTATATTTTTAAATTATTTAAAATATTAAAATATAAATATAATAGACTTGTTCGCAGCATCGCGTGGCTATTGATCTAGATTTAGTAACTACTATAAAGAGAAGAGAGAAGACAACCGTTTACTAGATAATTGACTTAGATTGACATTCTACTGTCTTTTTAAATTTATTTTAAACTAATATATCATATTTTTATCATATGAAAAAGAAACATGAATTATTATTATAATCATCATCATTTTTTTTTTTTTTGGTTTAGCTAATTTTTATTCTATTTACATAAAATATATTAGTAATGTACAAGCTGTATCAGCTTCATCAGTTTTGTTAGATTTCTCCTTACAACAATGGGTTTAGATGGCTAAATTTGACCCTCCGGGTCTTGAGCCTCTGGAAGAGCATTTCTAGGAATTGCTGCGTTGTGTACTCTTCTAGCGAACTGCCTCCTTATAGAGTACCAACGTTTCATTATAGCTGAGATAATTCTCCATATGTTTCTGTGCCTTAACAAATTAGTGCGACAAATGGATATGACGAGGGCAATTGTTGTTGTGCCTCCAGTTATAAAGAAAAGTACTCGGAAGACATTTGGGCCAAGGCTAGAACTTTCACTTTGCTTCTCTGGGCATGTTTCCGGTGTAATCCATGTCGTCTCTAGTTTTTGTAGCGTTCCATTCTCTGATATATTCAGTAGAGCTTCATTAATGCTAGCAAGTAATGGAGATCCACGCGGAAATGCCTGATGAACAAACCACATTAAAAATTAATCATTCCTGAAATTTTTGATTAATTTATATAAATAAACTGTTTTAGTACTGTCTTTTATTTTTTCTTTTTGAAAATGTTAGTATTTCGAAGCAAATAAGGCTAAGAGTACAATATATGCACTGGTCGTTTACCATAGCTTACTAATTTATTCAACTTATATTTAATGATGCATTGAACCTAGGAAAGTCTCTCTCCTTCTAATTTAGTTAAAACTATAACTTGGATCAAAGGTTTCCTAGCTAGACTGTCTTTGGTCAAATTTAACACCTTGTGACTTGTGGTTCAGCCTATTCAAAAAGTCTACCAAAAGCCTCTGGCCCTAGTAAAGCTTTTACAAGAACTAATCTTATATGCTTATTTTGGTTTGGTTTAGTTAAGCTCTTGTCTGAACAAGCAGCAAATGTAATTTAAACTAGCTCTAGTAATTAATTTTAAGGAAATAATCAAATCAAAAGTGAATAAATATTAGTACGAGAAACTTACAAATCCAAACCCTCCAATTTTGTAAGTTTGTCCAATTTGGATGAAGCTATTGCAGTATCTTGCAAGGAATAGCTTGGCATAGGGAGTTCCAAGAAAGGCAGCAGAAATTTCCTTGTTCTTGAAGCCTTCAGCATAGCTTTCTGCTGAGCGATAATGCTTCATGTTTTGGCTCTTGAAACCTAAAACTTCCACCAAATATCTTTCCATATAGGAACCTGTACAATATCCAACCATTGCATTGCTATTTATTAGTGCTTCAACGGTTGGTATAGTGGGTTCTAGCCTCTGTACAGTTAGCATGCTTGTGAGGTTGGCCGTGTAAGTCTGGATGATGATTAGTGCCACAAACAGCCACACCACCCCTGACATCCTTGATAGATTGCTATGAAGCTTTTGCCCTATATGAAAATGGTGTCAGCAAGATGCTAATTAATTGTCAGTGAATTATTATTTACCGAAGTTGAAATGAAAGAAGGAAATCAATGGGAACTAATTAAAAATTTTGATTTACCATGCAAGGAGAAAAGAGTGTTGAAAGATAACCAAAGCATTATTCCGATTTGATTTGGGATGGAGCCTTGTAGTTCATCACAATGGTTTCGTTCTATCCACCAAACAGCAAAACCATTGTAGACTGTAATCACTGTAATTAAAATCCACATGGTTGTGGTGAATGGTTTAATGAATGACCATGCTTCGCTGCTCGAACGGACCGGGACTATCAACACCAATCCTGTTTCAGTATATGGACTAGTAAATTCTGCATATTGGTATCTGCTTGAAACTATTTCCACATCACCAGCAACTGCGTCAAATTTCTGATCGAGGCAATGGGGAAAAAGTCAAGAGTACAACAAATTAAGTATGATTAGTCTAAACTCTAAAGTCTTTATTTTAATAACATACACCCATGCATGATCAATTACTGCACATAAATTAATTGTTTTACTGTATCAAGCTGCTTCTTACCTTTAGATGAATCTGCTCTACCAGTTCATCGTAACTTCCGCTAAAGTCATGGAACTCGTACGGCAAAGAGAATGGCAAGCTTGCTATAGTAGCTTTGAACACTTCTATTGTAAAACCAGAGACGTTCGTTCCCAAGCGATCATTATATGCCACTTTGACATATTCTTTGTAACCTGAACTGGAAGGCACTCCGATTCGCAATGGTTTAGCACTTGTCGTTGCACTCCATCCTCTTGGAGTATACCGAGGCCACCCTGGCCAAAGCACTTGCCCCAAATCTATCATGGACGAGTTGTAAATAGCATTTTCATGGATAGTCTCCGAGAATCCTAATCCGTTAGACCAATAACCGAGTTCATTGTAACTCATTCCTATTACATTCACGATCTCAAATATTTCTGCCGGGGCGACAATCTGGTTTTTGAATATAACTTTACCTGATAAACCATGGAAGTCTGCATCCAAAATTTTTTCCAACAACTCTTTGCTTTCCTTTTTACCTTCGCTTTTATTTAATGCTTGAGTTATTGTCCACATAGCATCATAGGCTTGCACCGCGTAAATCCCAGGCTCATTCTTTTCTTCTAGGGGATATTTTCGGCTAAAACTAGTACGGAATCTTTTATTAAAATTCTCAAACTGCTGCCCCATTCTAGGGAAGTAACTCCGGACTCCCAGAATTCCTTGCATTGATGATATGACAGAGGCATTTATGGAATGGATGAGGCTTGTAATGGGATCTGTTGTGATCCATACATAATCCTTTTTCATCATTTCCAGTTTCTTTGCGCTTTCAAATAGCCGCACAGCCAATTCGAATGACAAGTGAACAACAAAGACTCTACACTGCTTGCTTTTAATATTTTCAAGCTCTTTGGACAGGGAATCAGACGAAGCAAAAGGAGAGAGGGATACAAATTGGCTTACTTCTGAATTAACTTCTCTAAGGGCGTCGTGGAGATGTGGTATGACTCCACTTGCTAAAGAATCTGTATCTTCATATATCACAGTGACCTGATGCCAATTCCATGATTGCACAATAGCAGCTATAGCTTTCATTTGTGCATGCTTATTAGGTGAAGCTTGAACTAGAGAAGGCCATCGTTCACTTGCCCATTCTGGAGCTGTGTCAGCAAAAGAAAGAATTGGAACCAGTGTTTCTTTGGCGATCTCCGCAACTAATGACACCTCTTCCCACTTCTGTGGTCCTATGATGACTTGTACTTGTTGTATGTTGATAAGATCCTTTGCTGTATAAGCAATGTAAACATGTGAGCTTGGGTTTGATCTTAATTAATTATATATGCAAAAATGATACTTGTTTCAAAAGCAACCCAGTTACCTGCAAGAGCTGCACGGATGGTGTCCTTTTGAGACTCGTTTATATGCAAAAAAGTTTGCATGCCGAAGCCATAAAAATGCTCCTTTGCAACTTCCATTGCTACCATTTCTTCTTTGCCAATACGAGAACTTGAATCCACAATAGCTCCTAGTCTAGTACTTCCTTTGATATCCTGTCCTTTGGTGCTTTGATCGGCTCCTCTACCAGTTGTGAAGAACAAAACTAGAGTCAATAATGAGAAGAATTGATGAAAAATAGCCATTGTATCGTTAACAAAATAAGCAAGCAAGAAATTAAAGCTTATGCTCTTTCTACATATTTATTAGCCTAGAACTGAAATTATATTTTACTTAGTCAACGATCAAACTTTAGATTTTTCTCCTTTTTTCATAGCTTATAATTAATACTATATTTTTTTCACCCATTTTCTGTGTCCTTTCATTAATATTGCGTGCAAGTATATTCTACTATTTTTTGTCAACGATTTTTTAGCACTGTCCAAAACAACTTTTTTAAAATAGATTTGTCTTTGATAAAAAGAAATTAAAATGTCAATGAGACACGCAAGATTTTAATTTCGAAACCCTTGGTGAAAATCTCCATAACTCCATAATACGCTAGAAAAGGAAAAAGGAAAAAGAAAAAAGTTTTTTTTAAAAAAGGTATGAATAGACTAGCTTGTAATCGAGTCTGGTTAGTTGTCTCTGATTGAAGTTGTTTCGGATTCTTGTTACGTGAAGATTCGGGTCAAACACATACTCGACACCAGCCCTTTCATTAGGTTAGGGTTGACTTCTTAAGGTTTTATTTTTTAATTAAGAGAGTCGAACAATAGTTATGCTCGGCTGCATATTCTCCAATCATAAATATAATATATTTTATACTGTTTTTTCATAAATTAATGCAATATATAGTTAACACTTAGGAAATAAAAAGCCGAAATATATTTATTATGAGAAGTTCCAAAAGACAACCGATATAAATTGGTATAATTTTCTTATTAGCATAGTTTTAAAAATTAAATAAAATAATATTCTTCATATCATGTTGTTAAAAAAAAAAATTTATGTATCTTTTCTGAAACAAAAAATATAAAAAATAAAATGAAGCAAAAACGATTTCTCCATATATGATTCTTGCATTTTTTTTTGAATTATTTTGATTGAAATCTAGTGTATATATATATATATATATATATATATTTGGAGAAAAGAGTTTGGAGTGAGTGTGAATTGATTGAGAGTGGAGGAATGGAGTTTGATAGTGGTTTTGATGAAGGGAGGCCAGCGACTGGTTGGAGAAGAAGATGAAGAAAATAAGAGGAGGAGAAGAAGAAGAAGAAGAAGAAAGAAATTTTAATTAGTGATTGAAAAATAATGACGAACGTAAATGTACGTCGTTGTTCTTTCATAAAATGAGCAACTAATTAATTATAGTTGGTTGTCTATTTTTTATATATAGTGATAGATGCTTACGAGTTGGCCATTTATTTTTTTATATATAGCGATAGACTTTTATGTCCGTTGTTAACCCGTCGCCAATTGGACGACTTTCAAATTTCAAAAATCTATCCAATTTTCACCTTTAGCGACGGACTTATCCATCCCTAATTTGTAAGGGATATTTCTTTTAGTGATGGAAAATCTATCACTAAATCTAGACATTAAAAATAACGGTGGATTAAAAATTTCGTTGCTATATTCTATAGCAAATCCATCCTAGACCGTTTCTAAAACTTTTGAGAATATTTTACTATCAAATTTAGTGACAAATTGGTGTTTGTCACAAATAAACCATCTCTAATCCATCACTATTCTCCTCGCTAGTTCCAATAGATGCTATTCGATTACTAGTTGCTTGCTATTTAGCGATGGATCGATTTTCGTCGTTATTTGATGATTTTTTTTTTTTTTTTTGTAGTAAAGCAAAATAACTAAGATCCAATTTAATAATTTGTAAAATTTTGATTTAATTTATTATGATATTTATAGATATATAGCGGGGTATATCGAGATTAATCTTTGCATCAATTATGAATAATATTACCACTCTCTAGGTATAGAATTATATCTAACTTTTAGTTGAATTTAAGGACGGACATTTTGAACCCTTCAACAATTCTTGTCTAGTGCTAGAGATTTTATTTATACTATAATAATTTTTTCTATGGAAAAAATACCATTTAATTTTGCCATTTTTTTTTTTGAATTGAAGTTAGTTTGATTACTTATGTGATGAAAAAAAAAAATCAAATATGAAAGTAAAAATATGACAAATTGTAATCTACAAAAGTGTTTTTTTTTTTAACTAATATTTAGTATAGTATGTATAATTGAAAAATCTTAAAAACACTCCAAAGAAAATAAACTTGATAAAACATTCAACCTTAGATGCTAATATTTGTATTTTAGTATTATAAAATCATAATGTTTTCTCTTACTAATTATTATTATCTTACATTATTTTTGAATTTACAAAGGACTCTTTTATTCAAATAATATATATATATATATATATATATATATATATATATATATATATATATATATATATATATATATATAAAGTGTATAATGTTAATAAAACTTTTGTTTAGGGTTCTAACAATTTTTAACTTCTAAAGGTGTAATAACCCATCCAAAAAACAAGGTTAAATTAGTAATTTATATATTTTTTGGATTAAGAAAAATAGTTAAAAGTTAATTAGATGTTAATTTTATTTTTAGTATAAATTAGAAATTTTGAATTTTTTTATAAAATAAAATTAGTCCTTGAGGCTATTCAACTTTCTTAATTAGTCTCCAACACTATAAAAATAAAAGAGAATACAAATTAAAATAATATATATATATATATGGGGCGACCTTGTTTAAAAATGAGACAATCTCATATTCTCATATTTCTTTCACTCTCTTGTTCTTCTTCCTTTTCTTCTTCATATCTTACCCTTAGAATTCCCTCTACTTCCTCTAACTTCCTCCTCTACTTTTATCCTCAAATCTTGCCCAAATACTCTAAACCATGAAAATAAACTTAGCTAAATTCAAGCTTGGAAGGCTAGGACAATTGTAGGATTGAAATTAGAGATTTGAAAACCCATTTATCAAAGGTAAGATTTTTGTTATTTAGTTTTAAAATTGAGATGTTTATATGTATTTATTGATTATTTAAGGTTATTTTATATTTGTTGTTTGAGTAAAGATTGAGTATGTTAGGGTTAGATTTTGAATTTAATTTGAGAATTTGATGATTAAAGAATTATTTATTCAAATTGATGCTTGAAATGAGATAATAGTGGTGTAAAATTGATCATTGGACTATATGCTTGAGAAATTCATAAGTCTGTTTAAGATCATGGATTGTAGAGACAAGTTGTATGAAAATTAAATTAAAAATTGGTGATGGATAATTAGATTATTAGAGAAAAATTATAGAATGAACTTGAGATACGGTTGTTAGATAATTTTTAGAGTTGATTACGAGAATAAGAGTCTAGTTAAAAATCTTCAAATTTTGAGTTTTTTTTTTTTTGATAAATTTTATTTTTATAATTTGTCTTGTATTCTCTTTTCAAAAGTAATTATTTGCTTCCGAATTAACCTTTGATATGTGATATCATAATTATTTAATTATTTTGTATTATTAGATTTTTTGGAGTAGGTGACTCCATCTCATCAACTTTGACTTTGTTTATTAATTCGATTTTACTATGAGTAAATGGTATATAGTAAATCATGTTTTAAAGTTATTTTGATACCTCCATCATGCATCATTGATTTAAATATAATATAATCACATCCATTAGAACTTAAACAATCGACTCTTGTATAATTTAAAATGATTTGACATAAAAACTTATTTGATATGATTCTAAAAAAGATTTAATTATACATTTTGAATAGTGTTTCACTTAAGGTTTTGATTAAATTCTATTGATTTAATTAGAATTTTGATTGAGATTTTTGTTACAATTTTAATAGTATAATTTAAGTAAGTATTTGATTTGTAATTTCGAATGTGAGTTTGGATTTGAGCTTAGATTATGATTATGAGAGTTAATATTGAATTTCATTCTCAAATTTGATTATAAGCATAAATTGTATTTAGATATATATATATATATATATATATATATATATATATATATATATATATATATATATATATTGATTTTGGATTTTTTGAAATGTAAGTTTATATGATTTTTAATTTGTTTGACTACCTTAGAGTATCTAGCTATAAGGGGCGTAGCTTGTAAGCTCATTGATATAAAAATACTCCAACTAGCGAGAAGAGGTACGATGCTAGCTCATATGTTGGTCAATATATAATATACCTAGCTATAAGGGGCATAACTTTTAGATGTTTGTATACAATGATACGATATGATTTGATCGGCTATATGTAGATTTCGATACTTGATATAACTTCATTTGATTACAAGTGTTATGATATGAGATTCCAATTATGATTTTGAATGATTGAGAATATGAGATATGATTTAATTTTTAAGATAGTATGCATTTGACTCTAAAAAATGTGCATTGCATCTAGAGAAGGTTTTAAATTACTATATGTTTATCCATTTTTCTCTCTTAGTTATGATATATATTATCTCGCTCACTAAACCATTATTTTACTCACATCCCATTATTTTGATTTTGCGGGGCTTATAAGATTACATGTTGACTTCTTCGAGCTATTTATCTTGAAACCGATACATTGATCGTAAGGCTTATTTATTTGTAATATTTTAAACTTGTATTTTGAGATTGTTATACACTCTAGAACTCTGTAGTTATATTTATAGGATTTGTATTAGATGATTAATTATGGATATTATTTTGAATATGTATAAGTATTATAAAATTATAGTTTATGATGAAATTAAGAATTGTTGATTAATTAGCTCTGTGATGTTGTAAATTAGATGAGATATGATATTTAGATTTCTATAAGGTTGATGGCTATAATTTAGATATCTCAGCTTGCTTGAGTCAAAGTAAACCCCACAACTTTCTCGATTCTTACATCAATCATGGCCTACTTTGTGGGATGTGAAAAAATAAGTATTAAAGCATAGGTTTTGGTGTCGGGGATAACTACAAAGCATAATTTTTATTCTAACATATGCCATTACTTCAAATTGTTTTGTTTCTTTGAATTCATATCTCTTAAAATGTTTCAAATCTAAGTGTTTTGTATAAGTTATCACGATGAGGACTAGGTCAAGTCACCATGGAGGAAGTATCGAGGTTGAGGCATCATCTTGATCTCTACAGTCTTATGATAGATCTAAAACTAGAGAAGAAGAAAACCCCAATTTGATATCATAGTTGACATCATAACTAGTTTTCATACCATGTAGCACACGGTAGAGACGAAGGTTAGAGGAATCCAATAATTTCTTCGAGGCCATGGCAGGATTATTGTTGACCAATCAAGGCTTAAGTGAGATAGGCATTTTTATAGTTACTACCCGATTGAGATTAACATGTTTGATTTGTATGTTGTTAAATTCTTGAAGTTGAAGCCACCGAGCTTATTATGGTGATAAGGAAGATAAAGATCATATACACTTTATGGATGAGATAAAAAAAAAAGGCTTGTTGTGCTTCGATTTCATGAGAAAAGAAAGGTTGAGTTGGTATTATTTTTTCTTGAGGAAAGTGTTAATTATTGGTATAAGAAGGGTAAGAAACCTAGTTGGTTTTGGAACTAATTCAAAACAGACTTTTCTAAAAAAGTGACTACCTATGAGTATCAACGAGCACCGGACTAGGGAGTATGAGAGTCTAGTACGGATTTCTAACATGATAGTAATAGAGTATCACTACGGGAAAACCATCAAATAGCAATAAAAATTAATAATAGAAGTTTATCCGTCTCTAAATAGCAAGTAAATACTGATAGAATAGTATATATTGGACCCAATAATGGATTAACTATGGATTAGTGGTAGTTTATTAGCAACGGACACTAATGCATCATTAAATTTGATGATAAAATCTTTTTTAGGATTTTAGAGATAGGTTAGCGATGGATTTGTAAGGATTTTAACGACTATAATTTAGCGACACCCATTCTATCGCTAAATAGGGATGTATATAAGTTAAACTAGCGATAACATGATGATGAAAATAAGACCTTTCGGACCATTATTTTAGATTGATTTAGTGATGAAAATTTGACAAATTAGAGATGGAATTAGTGATGGAAAAAAAATTTGATCATTGAGGAAATGACAATCATAATTTTAAAAATTGAATTCATATTATCACTATTTGATAGTGCATAATTTACACAACTTTTATGTTCATTTACGTTAAGCTTATTAATGTTTTTTATGTTACATTAAGATAAATAAGAACAAGTTAACGATCTTGGATTTTTATTTGAAAAATAACAAATCAAAACAAACAAAACTAGACCAAAATGTATAAGAAGTCAAAACCACTAAGGAAGCAAAGAAGTCATACGATCGTGTGACCTACAAGAGGAACAAACTACCGGTCATGTGAAACAAAGAAGAAAAACATGTGGATGTTCAACAAAGAAAACACATAGGCGGTAGTAATCAACATGGTTTGAGGAAGAAAAGTGACACACTCGTATATGTGTGTCAAGGCTAAGATGTCTTTTAAGGAGAAGAAAAATACACACGAGTAAAAACTAAAGGACAACTGAATGAAGAGAAAATTAGGCATGGTCGTGTGCCTTAGTCCAACAAGTCGTGTGCCACCGGCTCTCCAAGGCTCCAAATCATATGAAACAAAAGAGCAAGTCATGTGCCTTCTCAAAACAAACAGGTGTGTCCATGTTAGGCTACTATGTGTGTGTTGTAACCTACTTTGTGTTATAAATAGGGAAGTTAAGATTCATTCTAGGGATTCCTTCATTCTAGTTCTACCATAGATAGAAAATCATCTCTTGTAAGCAAACTATGAGTCACTAAGGATTGTTCTTGGTTAAAGAGAAAGTCTGAAGCTTTTAGTGTAACTTGTTGTGATATCTAAATGGGTTTTATCTCTAATCTTATTCTTTTGAGTTTTTTTTTAATGTAATTTGAATATAATTATATGGTTGATTTAGTTAATTATTATAATCTATTACTAGAAAAGTATTCAAGTCCGTAATTATTTGTCTAAACTTCCTTGTGGTAGCAAATACGAGTTAATGATTATAAATAGGTTTTCATTTAATTTCTTGAAAAAACATAAAACTAGATTAAATTCTCTAAGAATCTAGAAGGATTATTTAGCTCCACCTATTATTCTTTTAACTAATGATGTTGTTGGATTAAATATAGGTAGTGACTACTAGGTTGTTCAATATTAGGGATTAATCAAGTAGCATCTATTTAGTTAGCGAATCACTAAGAAAAGATTGAGATAACTTACATGTTGTTATTTTATAATAGATATTCATAATAAGAATGGATTAATGTATGAGTCACTAATCAACAAATTAACAAAAAGTGAAGACCCACCTTCAACCAAGCTTTTTGCTATTATTGTCAAATCTCTATTTAATTGTCTTTATCTTTAATATTTTGAACAAACCAAAACCCCTCTTTTTCCTTTACTTAACCTTGAAATAATCGAAGAAAAAGGAACATAGATTGAACCATCTCCGCATCGGATCAACCCTAACTTGCCCTAACTATAGTTTGTAATTAGGTTCAATTACGAGAAATATAAATAATCAAATTTATCGAGCGGTGCGACGTGCCATCACTATTACATCCCTAATATCATATAGTATAGATTTTCAACATATAACGACGAAAAAATTTATTGCTAAATGTCGTTGAAATTTTGATAGTGTATAAGAGGAGGTTTATAAAGTCGATCCATTATTCCCTAAAAATGATACCTACTCGGGAGAAAATAGTGAAAAGGTTTATAAATAAACTAGTGAATCCACTTACTAAAATTTTATTTCTCTAGAAGTTTTAAAGTTATTCTAAAGTAGTTAATTATGCTCGTAAGATTGAATTAAGGATAATAGAGAGTAAAGCAATGAAAAAAGCAGAGGAATAAAGCCAAGATTGATATATCGTTATCTGGTGGGTATAACGATCAAGGTGCTAGGTCTAGCCAAGAGGTAAGTATGTAGCATTATTCTGTCCCCATAAAAGGTTTTTTTTTGGATAAATTAGTCATGGTGGGTCGCATATAAGCATAAGCCAGTGATCATCTCATTCGATTTATCAAGATTTTAGTATGAGATATTATGTTAGTCAGACATATGGGAAAGCTTATCTGTGTTTATACTCTTGGGAGAATGAGGTAATACTTCTATTGCCATCAGCAAAGGCTTCAAATACGAGATTGCCTTGAGTATACGATGTTCTTGGATACTACTTCGAGAAGTGTGCGTGCTTCACTTATGACCAATTCTTCTTTGAGGTAATGTGGTGGTCAATGTGGTGATAGATTGGTGGCAGATGACAGTAAGGTTAAGGATAGGCTAGTAAGGGTATGAAGGCTTAAGAGGTGAATGGTGACTATGTGATGTATATATGGTAGGTCCAACGTTCCCTATTTTAACGAACATTTCTAGGCTATCTGTTTGTTTGTTTGTTTTCTGATCTCTTTCTAGATGTATCAGAAACTTCATCGAATCTTGGGTTACACTGAAAAATGGAATTGCTCTCTTTCCGTTTCAATCTTTGACACGAGCTAATTAATTTCATTGCCGCTGATCATTGACAATTCAATGCTTACTGCACAAGGATTTTCGAATTCGATATGTGGAAAAAAATTTATAGCAACCACAAATTTGTCATGATTACGAGGTAACAACATTGAAAGGTATATGAGAAGGGCGAAGACCAATAGGAGCACACTCAATTCTTTTAGAATGTTATTTAACATGTGTGAATACGCCATACCAAGTAAGACAAGGATATTTCTGTGTGGGGCTGCTTCCATTCATGTAAAACAAAATGGATTTCAGAAATTAATTTGTCGGCTAAGAAAAAACTCCAAAAGAATTTCCTCGTAATGCATCCACCAATATTTACACGCGAAATTTCGGTCTAACCCGAGTTGTTGGAAATTAATGCTTCAGCACATCCCCCGTCATTGGAAATACGCGTCGGTCTACAAGACTGAAACTGCAAGCATCAAGCCTTGGAACGCTTCTGCTCTTTCGAAGAGTGAATCCCGACACTAGGATCTAGGCTACCTACCTAAAAAATTGTAACTTAGTTACTTATTTCCCCTACTTGACTATTTAACCAAATAGTTGTCCAGGTGTATATATTTGAATGTAGAATATTTTAAATTGAATAACAATTAAGAATTTAGTTGTACGACTTTTTTTATGTCAATTATTCTCAAATTAAAGATTATCGAGTAACAAGACAACTTCAATTTGAAAATTTAAATTGTTAAATTAGTATTAGAGTTTTGATGATTAAATGACTACAAGTTTGAATCTCATTATCTCAATTTTTTTAATTAAATAATCAATTATAAAATAATGATAGATCTATACAAATTTTAATTATAATGAAATTTAATCTGAAAAAATATGTTAAAAAAATATAAAATTATTTACAGAGTCCCATCTAATAATTTAAAATTTTGAGCTAAAATAGTTATTGACAAATCCATCATCTTTTGTTAATCTCATAGCTAATTTTACCTTCTATTCAAGTTGAAGTCATTTTAGTTATAGGATTGTATACTTGTATGTATTTTTTTCCCCCAACTTCATCATATCCTTCTAACTATATTATTTATGAGTGGTCAGGAAGCCTTGGATGGTCAGATTTTGATAATCGAATTATTTTCAAATTAAAAAATATTTTTTACAGTAATTATGTCGAAATAGCATGCTAATTGATATTTTATTTTCTTCTTTTTCTTGTAGTATTTAAAAGGACATAACATATTTGATACCCATGAAAGATGCTTGAATTAAATATCTATGTTTCCTCTAACACTTAAATTCTAAAATTTGTATTGAAACATGTTAATGGTAGAATTACAAAGATGGAAGCGGAATTGTGGAGTTTAATGGATATGCCTTTCAAATCCTAAATAGAAATTCACCAGGATCGTGTAAGGATTGTTTGACATCTCAATGGGCAGAGAAAGTGATTAAGGTCTCTTATTTGTTAGCGTAGAGAGTTTTTTTCCTCACAAAATTACGCTTTGTCCCTCTGCCTCTTTCTAGACAAACTTACTTACAGAAGAACGTACTTTTAGTTTTCTTATAACTGAGAGAATTTATTTTCCTTAATCGATAAAGAAAGTGAGATGTTATAGAGAAAATCTCTCTCTATTATCTATCAACTCTTATCAAATAATCTCACATATTATTTCCCTTATTTCCATATCGCAGTACAATTGGACTGAGCCAAACATGGATACTCAACTTTTGGTCAAAGTCAAAATGCCCAACATTAATAACATGAATTAATTTTTTTCTTAACTCAAAATACCTTTTGTATTGCATCTATTCAATCCAAATACATTCATTCACCATTTGATATTGGTTGAAACAATTTTTTTTTTTTTAACCATTATAATTGCCATCATTGTTTTTGACCTCCAAAAATTTCAAAATTTAGAGTTTCTAAGATTTTTGTAATTCTAGTTATTTTATAATTTTTTTTTATGATTTTAAAATGTGTTGTGATTTTTCGTTTATTTTTTGAGAAAGTTGAAAAGAAGAGAGAGGTAGAAGAAAAGTTAGAAAAAATCAAAACACCAAAAAAGAAAAAAAGAAAAGCAGTTGAAAAGGGAAGAAAGAAAGAAGAAAAGCTAGACAAAGAACAACTGAAAAGAAAAAAGGATTGAAATAAACAAAGAAAAAAACAAAAAGACCAAGGACCAAAATAGAAAAGGACGGAAAAACTCATTTAATAGAACAATATTTGATTTGTGATGCCAGAATAAATAAATAAATAAAAAGGTGAAACAATGCCTTGTCACCCAAGTAGTTGGGCACTCTTCCTCCCCCCCCCCCCCCCCCCCCCCCCCATTTTTTTTTTTTAGTAAAAAAAATTTTGAACTTTCATTCCATGAGAAAATTGTTCGGCCATGCCATACACAGAGTGTTATTGAACAAACTACTAACTTAAGGCAATTTTGAATTGCTAAGACAAACATAGGGGTAAAATGATAGATCAAGCCCAAATTTTGGGTTTCTATATATGAGATTGCATGCTTGCTGCATTTGGAGCGAAATTAACAGAGCTTTCAGCATTGCTTAATCTTCTAATGAACTGCTTTTCACAGAACCAATGTCTCATTGCAGCCAACTTAAGTCTCCATGTAGCTATGTATCCGAGCACCATATTGACTCTATAGAAAATGTAGATAAAAAGGGAGATTGTTGACGTGCCGGTGGTTATACTGAAGAGTGTCCCAAAACTCTTGGGGCTAAGGCTAGGATTTTCATCCTCCACATCTGAGCAATTTTCTCGCTCAATGAGTCTGCTCTCTAGTTCTTGCAGAGTTCCATTTTCACATACATTGAGTAGAGCTTCGTCAACGCTAGGAAGTAATGGAGATCCACGAGGAAATGCCTGAGACACAAATCATAGCTTCAATTATATATCATATTTTGTGCCACATAAACCTTAATTATACTGATATAAACATACAAATGTCTTTAGGGCCGACAAGAATAAGGCTACCATCACTGTATTCCACCTGTGCCAATAAGCTAAAATTATATATTGAGCGCAGGTTTCATTTCTTTTGAACTATTTAAGTTTAGAATAATGTGTCCTGGATTGTGTACGGTCCCACATAAACCCTGGTGACCAGGGTTCAAGCATTGGTACCAGCTTGCATCAAAGTTTGAGATTTTCTTCGGCCAAATTTATACCTAGATATTCAAATCCAGTTTAGCCTCCTAACATCATCAGCCCTGAACCTTACCATTTGCTAAAAAATTTATAGTAAATAGCCTAAATAAGTTTGGTAAATTAATTCCTTCTTGTTCTAAAATTTTAGAACCTATTTTAGATCGAATTTTTCAGGAAAAAAAATAAATAAAAAAGAAAACGGAAAATTAATCAGTAGGATATCTTACAAATCCAAACCCTGCAACTTTGTAAGTTGGCCCAGTTGAGACAAAGCGGCGGCAGTATCTTGCAAGGAATAATTTGGCCACAGGAACTTCAAGAAACACAGCAGCAATTTCTTTGTTCTCGAAAGCTTGAGCATAATCTTCTAGTGTGGTATAATTCTTGATATTTTGCATTTTGAAACGTAAAACGTCCACCAAATAATTTTGTAAATAGGAACCTGTGCAATACCCAACAACTGCATTGCTATTTAGTAGGGCCTCAACATTAGGTGTAGCAGGTTCAAGCTTCTGGGCAGTAAGCATGCTCGAAAGGTTGGCTGTGTAAGCCTGTGTGATCACTAGTGCCACGAATAGCCAGACTACCATAGACATTCTTGATAGATTGCTATGCATTTTCCCCCCTATAACAAAATCTTGTTAGCTCTATTAGTTTTCGTATGTTTCAATATAGAATATAGTTTCTAGATCTCATAAGAAAACGAAAGAAGCGAATGATAAAGAAATCTTACCGTGTAACGAGAAAAGAGTGTTGAAGGCTAACCAAAGCATTATTCCTATTTGATGCAGCATAGAACCTTTATGTGTAGGGCAATGATTTCGCTCTATCAACCAAATAGTAAAACCATTGTAGACAGTTATGACTGCAATTAGAACCCACATGGATTTTGTGAAGGGTTTAACGAATGACCATTCTCTATTAACTGATCGAGCAGGGACGATGAGCATCAATCCTGTTTCAGTGTAAGGAGATGTGAATTCCGCATGCTGGTATCTGCTGGCCATTATTACCACATCACCAACTACTGCATCATAATTCTGCTAGCATGGATAGAAAGTTCAAGGTACATAAGGTACGATCAGTCACAAGTCTCTGAAAGTTAGAAAACTTAGTTGATGCTCAAATTTAGAACATTTAGGTTAATATTAGCTTTGATGTTGATTTCATAGTCTTGTGACGTATTTCATATCACAAGAAAGACTAATGACACTAAAAATAACGTACAATTATCACTGAAGTTAATGATATTATCACTTGACTTAATACGATTTTTATGTATTTATGGCTTTTTTGTTTGCGTTGACCGACTTTTCCTTCTATTAGAAAAGATGAACAAGAGATGACATCTTGCATTATTGCGTATATCAATTGAGAAAGTTAATATAATTATAAATACAAATTCATGTGGTCAACAAATTAATGGCAATACAATCAATATAATCTTGAGAATTAACTAATGATTTCTCAAAATAATGAACTGCAAGCTTGAATCAACCTAATGTAATATTTGGAGAATATTACAATATATTCTAAGAAGAAAAAAGAAAAACAAAACAACTTTTTCGTGAACAAATGCAGATATGGATCCAAGCTAAGTCCAAAGTAAGTCCAGTCAACTACAATCCTTTCCTTGAGACTTGAGAGTACAACCAAGCAGTTGAGATACCTACTACGAGGTCTCTGCAGGTTCAAAACTTAAGAAAGTGGGAGGAAATTAGGAATGAGGTCTCTGCAGGCTATTCCTAATTGTGTAGCCTAAAACCCTATTGGACCTTCGGATAAAATAGAAATAAATTTCCGTATTTCAACTGGCAACTATTCTCTCTTTTTATATCTCAAGTTCTAATGTCTCCTTTATTAAATTAAAAAAAAAAAAAAGGACTCTGTATTTCCAACCAAAACCATTTTTCCTAGACATTAAAGACAGATTATAGATTATAGTCATTAGGAATGAGCTAAAATATGGACATTATGAGCATGATTTTCATTCCTAGAAAGTTAGTCAATGCTTAATAAAATCAAAATAACTTTAAGCTACTTCAGGAGCACATCAGTACCAAATCCTCACAAGATGAACAAACGAAAAAGAGAAAATTAAAGGACAAAGACTTATATTCTGTGTCTTACCTTGAGATAAATTTGTTTTACTAGCTTATCGTAAGAAGTGTCATTGAAGGCCTTGAACTCATATGGCAAATAGATTGGCAAGCGTTTGAAAGTTTCTTCGAAAATCTCGATTGCAAATCCAGAAAAAGATATGCTGTTTCCCAAGCGATCATATTCCACATGCACAAAATCTCTATAACCTGATTTGCCAGGCACACCAATTCGCAATGGGTTTGCACTTGTTGTAATAGTCCATCCTCTTGGTGTAGACGTCAGTCCCCCTGGCCAAAACACTTGCTCTAAATTAGTCATACAAGAGTTGTACACAGAATCTTTGTGGATAGTCTCCGAGAAGCCTAATCCATTTGACCAAAACCCGAGTTCCTTGTAACTTGTTCCAATTACATTGATGATCTGAAATATATTTGTAGGACCTTTTTCGTTGATGAATTGAACTTTTCCTGATAGACCATGGAAGTCCGCTTGCAAAATTTTTTCTAACAGCTCTTGACCTACTTGGTTACTTCCATTCACTGCTACAGCCATTGTCCAAACTGCATCATAGGCCTCTGCTGCATAAATTCCAGGTTCATTGTTGTCTTCGTCAGGATTTTCAATGCTAAATTTCTTGCGAAATCTTTGACGAAAGTCATGAAAAAGGTGCCCTCTTTCTGGGAAATAACTCTTGACCCCTATTATTCCCTGCATTGATGACGAGATAATAGAGGCATTCACGGAATGAACAAGGCTCGTAATGGAATCCGTAGTGATCCATACATAGTCTTTTTCCATCATTTTCATTTTCTGTGCCTTTTCAAATAGACGCACGGCCAAAGGCAAGGACAAATGAATAACAAAGACTCTACACTGCTCTGTTTTAAGTTTTTCGAGCTCTTCAGACAATTTAGTAGTAGAAGCAGAAGGAGGGAGGACTAGAACTTGGATGATTCCTACTCCTACTTCTCTCAGAGCATTAAAGAGAAATTGTGTGACTGCAATAGCTGATGAATCCGTGTCTTCATATATTACAGTGACTTGATTCCAATTTCCCGATTGCACAACAGCGGCAACCGCTTTCATTTGTGCTTGCTTGTTACTTGAAGCTTGAAGTAGGTAAGGCCATCTCTCTGTTGCCCATTCGGGAGTGGTGTCAGCAAAAGAAAGAATTGGAACCTTAGATTGGTGACTGATCTCAGCAACTAACGATACCTCTTCCCACGTTTGTGGTCCTAAAATGGCTTGTACTTGTAGAGTGTTGATGAGATCCATAGCTGTTTATGCAAATTGCGTATGGAATTAATAATCTTTTAAGAACAAATTAATGCTACAATAAGCTGATTCAGTAGAACAAGTAGCTTAGCTTAAATATTGTACTAATTCATAATCAGTACTAGATTAAGTGTTGTTAAAAGTAGTATTATAATTAGCTACCTGCTATTGAACTCCTACAGTCTCACGACGATGTAAAAAAGTAATCTCATAGTAATAATTAAGATGGGGCAACGATATAAATACCTGCAAGAGCTGCAGGGATAGGTTCCCTTTGAGAATCTTTAATTCGGAGAACCAAAGTTTGATTCCTGGTGCGATATAAATCCTCCATTGCAATTTCCATGGCAACTCTCTGCTCTTTACCAATACGTGAACTCGAGTCGATAATCGCACCAATGATACCTTTAACATGGACTCCATCTGCTGCTGCTGTTGTATTCAGATTAAATAAAAAAGCTAATGCAAATAAAGAGAAGATAATAGGGTTGAACGTGCTCATTGTGCTCATGGCAATTACATACAGCTCGAGCTTAATTTCCCTAAACACACATATATGTGCAGTTACTGCTTTGATTATTTTATTTTGTCAACATCCACTATTACGGGTTATTATGAAATATATATATATATATATATCAAACGTTGAACAATATAGTGTTATTTAATGACGACCATTTCCCATGGAAGAATATTCATTGGTAGAATATTTTTAATGTTTCTTCTTATGAAGTCTCCAAAATTGTCTGATCGAAAAGACGCGCTTCATACACTAATCCTTACTTTGAATTCACTATACTGATATTGCAATTTCCAGGAACCTCTCCCATAGATAATTTACTACTTGCAATGCAAGCAAGATTCTGTGATGATTGTAATGTCAATGTGGTAGGTAGATCCTGCTCAAATTTAGAAGAATAGTATGGTCAATAGTCCATCATAATAGGATGACTAATTGAGTCTTTCTTCAGTCTTGTGCTCCTACTTCATCGTATTAATTTATGTAGGACCGTATTAGGACGATGGGAGTTTCCTCGTCACAAATAAGTATGCATGGTCCAAACACGGACTAGGTACAACTTTGAAAAATTCATTGGATATTCTTCATATTCTTTGAGTTTGGAATTTATAAGTTGAAATAAAGATGCTAATACTAGTTAATCTACAGCTCATCCACAATAATCGTTATATTAATAGCATAATTCACATAAAAAGTTATTGATGTAGAATTTTCTCGTATAGTTATAAAAATGAAAAACTATTTTTTTTCAATTTTTTTTTTTTTTGGCACTGTTAAGACAATGACCTGCTGTGACCTCTACTAAACAACAACCGAATTAACATGTTGTGCATATAATTGATATTGATCCTTCAGTTGGAGATAGGAGTATGTTGGAAGAACTAGATAACGATAGAATAGTTGTTCGATAGAGTAACCCGATAATGATAGAATAATTGTTTTTCTATCCAATTATTTGTATTTTGTTTGTAGCTAAACTCTCTAAAAGAGTTGCACAAACAATGAATATGAAAGTTGTGATTTATTTCATTGAGATTAGTAGTATTTATTTATGAATTACAATAGATACAAAGTAGGAAAGTAATCTAAATATGTACAGAAAGAAATGATTTGATTGATAGCATATTGAACACTAGAATTGAAAATATCATAGAGAAATTATAGCCATAGTTGGAGGAGTGAATTATAGTTTGACATTTGGTAAGAGGGATTTTAGGAGTGAATTAATGTTTGACATTTGGTAAGAGAGATTTGAGAAGTGAATTATGATTTCACTACCAAAAAATATGAATTAGCGACGGTTTAAACCGTTGCTAATTCTTAAAAAACCGTCACTAATCTTAATTAGCGATGGTTTTGTAATGGTCTAAAACCATCCACAAAAAACTTCTTTCTAATTATTTAGCGATGGTTTTTCAAGGTCGTCCCTCATCATTGTTTTTGAAAAAAGCCGTGGCTAATTTTGGACAAATCGACAACTATTTTTAGAAATCGATGCCAAATTTGGTAGCTAATTTTTGACATATTTGCGACTCGTTTTAGAAAATTGTTGCTTAAACCATCGCAATTTATTCAAAATTATCAATAGATTTAGCGACTGTTTGTAAAGATAGTCGCTAAATTATAATTTAGCGACGGTACAAAACCGTTGCTAAATCCGTATGAATATTTTTTAATTTTTTTTCAATATTTATGAGAAATATTTTTTGTTTAAATTAAGCTATTCCAATTTAAAAACTAAAAAAACACTATAAGTAAGATTTTAAAATATTACAAAATGATTATAAAATATAAAATGAAATATATATCAAAACATCAAATTATGAAATAATTTTAAAGTTTGTTAATATTATAAGAAAAATAAAACATAAAATTTAGAAGCAATCGATAGAGTCGTCGGTCGAAGGATCGGTGGGATCGTCGGTTAGAGAATTGCTTGGATGAACTCGCCTCGTTGCATATTCGGCAACATCCGTTGCATCAATTATATCATCACATGTTGCTCTCGAGTATATTGTTTCAACTCATTTGTAGTAGCTAAAAGCAATGTAATTTATCCTCTAGTTGCTCAATCTTTTATGTTTATCTAGCGAGCATGAGCCTCCATTTTCTTTCGTTGTGCCTCATTATCGACATGGAGTCGTAAAGTGGTCGAACTAAAGGATGTACTAACATTAGAGTAATAGTGAGAGGCTTGTGACCCGAGTTCTTACATCCTCTTCCTCTTACCATCTCCTCCTCCAATAGCCTTTTTAAAAATCCCATTCATATCGATATCGAGCAATGAAGTACCCTCCGTCCGTCCGGTAGCAACCTCCTCCTCTAATATTTTATTCATGATCTCCTACATAATTGCATAAATTTTAATATTAAATAAGTATGTGAATAAGTTATATAAAAGTAACATACGTATGAAATAACCTTATAAATTAATTACTTACTCTAAGAATTCTTATCCGTTGATTGATGAATACGTATTGATCATCAACCTTCTTCCCGTAAGTCTTAAAGAAAACCTCGTAAGCATCGAGTTCATACCTAACTCACACTTACAAAAAAAATACTTAAATGTAACAACTATACTTAAATGTTTAATTAATTATATTATATATATATATCCGCGTGTGTGTGTGTGTATTGCGTGCTTCCCGTGGCCGATCAAAGCCCCGTACGTCTAGATGGACCAACTCTAACACCACCAGGTCTTGCTTTTGTAATTCTAGGTCGTCATCTCATATCGGACTCGGGTTTTGACCATTTTTTATGCCATACATCCCATATCTCCTATGAGAAATATGTTGGTTTCGGGTATTTCTTAACGTTGTAAAGAAAGTCAAAATATCGCTTCCGTGTCGGACTACGCCATGCTTTTTTAATACTTTCCTCAATATTACACTCCTACTTAAAGGACTTCTGTAAGAATATTAAAAATATTCATTAGTACATTTAATTGAAAATTGAATATTAAAAATATTCATTAGTACATTTAATTGAACATTAATATTTTTTTATTTAAATATGAAGTCAAGTAATAAATTAATTAAACAAAAAAAAACTACCTTAAACACTTGCCGGTACAAGTCTTCGGTTTCCAAACTAATTGTCGTTCACGTCCATTCAAATATGTCAATATACTCATGGAATGTGTTAAAGATGTGACGAGTACAAATATCGAAAGGATACAAGTCGTGAAAGTATATATTAAATAATAATTAAATGAACACATAATTATAATAATATATAAAAAATTTCATAAAATTATACATAATATGTACTCTTTTCCATCAATGATACTAATCATAATTCGAGGATCGAATGTAGATCCAATAGATTCGAAACATGACGAGTCGTCATGTTGGGTTGAGGCCATTGATGATGACGAAATGTCAAATTGGCGAGGATATGGAGGTCTAAAATAAAGTGACTCAAGCCGAGACATGTCAAACGTTGATGGAGTTGACACGGGGGACCAAGAAGGTAGTATGGAGGAATGTCGATGGGGGAGCCATCCGATCAAGAACAAAAACAGGACTACACCTATGACCACGATCATTGCCATTGTCGATGTACCGGACCACGACCCTCACCATATGACATGGGTCACTACATGCGAGAACGTCCCCTACCACGAGGTATTATAACCTACATATTATCACATTAATTAGTTAAAATATTGATAATAACATTTAACATTGATATTAACATAAATAATTTGAAATATATTTATTTTACAAAGAATAAATAACTACATTATTGAATTAAAACATGGACACACACACATATTTAAATGTTATCATAAAAATTAGAAGTAAACTATGTAGGACAATCAAACCATATCGCTAATAACTATCATGGTCATCATTGTTATAGTTTTCATATAAGTCCTTCTTAATATCTATTTCAAATTTAACTTCATTCTCTATATTAATTTCACCTCTTTCTAAATCTATTAACGATCTAATTGGATCCGTCAACGAATGACCTTCGTCGTCATCAACTTGGATGACATTGTGTCGATCTTTCATTTAGTTTTCTTGAAATGGTTATGTAATTGTTTAGATCGTAACGGACGATTTAAGCACATCCACCATTGGCTTGGGTTTTACCTTATATATAGTTAACCAATCACACTCGATGTACTTCGATATAGGATATGTTACGTAATACACCCGATGTGTTTGTGTTGATAGGATAAAAGGATTAGATCTATTTGACATCTACGACTATTTACTTCTACTAATCCGTACCGATCATGAACTCTTGTACTAATGCCGGGTGTAGTATCATACCAATCATATTTGAATAATACGAGTTTTCTTGATTGGTAAGGCGGGATACTCAAGTTCTAGTATATCGGTTAACCTACCATATTAATCATTTTCCTCTATATCGTAACTAACTTCTTTTACACACACTCCATTAAACATTATTGCTCTATCAAAACCATGACCTTCGGTGTGAAACTTGTACTTGTTCACAATGTATCCCAAATACGACTTAGCTATTCATAATGACCCTTTTATAAGATCTTTAATGTAATGGTCGATTATCATGTTAAATTGTGCATTACTTGCTTGTAAAGTCCAGGTCCATTACTTAATGTAGGTATGAAATTTCACAAAATCATATTAATAAAAAATATTTTTATACTCATATATCGACAAAACGAAGATGTAAAATCAATTTCAAGCAAAGCATCTATCTCGTTTTTTGATATGTTTTGATTACTACGATAAAGTTGGGTCATAAGATATCTATGGAAAAAACTATTATAAGATTCTTATTATGTGTAATAAAAATAAATGATAATTAATGAAGTTTAGTACTGTAATTTTTGGTAATTATAGGACTTACTCGGTGCAAGGTGTCATCTCATCACGAGTTCAACAAAATATAGGTAAAAGATGCAATCTTTTCTTGATCTATCAACATATTATTTTCCTCGACCTAGAGATCGACCTTTTGGTTTGAATATAGCAAGT